AAAGTGGACAGCAGTTGAAAATAAACAAGTTATCATACAACAAGACAATGCGAGACCCCATATAGATGTGAATGATCCGAACTTTGTAAAGAGTGAGACCAAAGATGGATGGAAAATCCAACTTCATTGTCAGTTGCGAAATAGCCCTGATCTGAATGTGCTTGACTTGGTTTTTTAGGACTATTGATTCTTTAAAAGATCAGAAAGCCCCAAAATCCATCATGGATTTAATACAATCAGTACAAACAACATAGGATGAGCTAACAACTCATACCTTAAATAAGGTCTTCTTAAGCTATCAGTATGTAATGGAAGAGATTCTCAAGCATAATGGTGGGGAAAATTTCAAACTCACACATGTTGGAAAAGACAAATTGAAAAGACAAGGTTTATTACCAAAAAATGCCGAGATCAATCAATAATTGTATGACGTAGCAAAGACACACTTGGGTGGACAAATAGCAACAAACACATCAAGTGCAAATGCAGGGATTCGGTTTACAGATGAAGATTATCAGGATCTTCAACTCTGAACTGGCATAGATGAAGATTACTCTTTTGCTAAAATTTGTTAGTACACATTTTTTGTCTATATGTTGATGTACTATTTTTGTATGTACTTCCCTTGCATGTAAGCACAATATTTTAGTGTACATACTATTGCAAGTGTACACTACTTGTTGTTAGCACAATTGAACAATGAACTGTGTATAACATTTTTTGGCGAGTTTAATGAACTATGTATCACATTTTATGTAAACCCTGGCCTCCTGGACAAGTACACAAATTTACAAATATGGCAAATCACACACAAATTCACAAAATCGCATCATACACAAAATTATAAATTGTTAAACTCAAAGCCCCTAATCATCACCGGTTTTCACATTACGACCTAAGGGATAAAAGGATGCACACGGGACACAAATGAACACTTGCAACACAATTTCACACGGAGAAAGGGAGAGTACTACCCTTGGAATTGTCAACTTCAAAGTTCTGTTGTCAGTGTGCAAATCGAAGTCATCTCCTCCCCCGGACCATGGTCAGCAATTGTCGCTCCTCCTTGACTCTCAATGGCTGCCGATGTCACCTCTTCTTCTTATTCTTCTTCCTCCAAGCCATCCAGCTCTTCATATGTATCACTCACCATATTGGAACCATACTATTTCCTCAACCGCCATCCCGAGTCCGTTTCTGATGAGGTACAATGACCAAACCGAACAATGATCGATAAACATGGCACTACGAGTCATGCATGTTCAACATCTAGAATTGGTAAACATTTAGTGTGAAAAGAAAGAGGTATTAGGAGGTACTAGAAGCACATCGGACAGAAGAGAGAAGGTAGAAGGGGAGATGAAGACATGTAGACTTATTTGAAGTGTGTGGATGAGGATGGGACAGTGCGTAAAAAATAGGGATTAAATGGGACGGTGGGCAGTAGGTAGCAGGGAATAAATGGGGGGTGGTGGGTAGTTGAAAGGGATTAAATGAGGGTAAATGGGATGAGGATATTCGAGTCTTGAATCAAACTTTCCTTAAATCAAAGTGTGAACTTAAATATGGGACATTCAAAAAAGGATCGTGGGAACTTAAATATGGAAGAGAGGGAGTACATCAAAATATTGTTACGTAGGTCTAATCAAATAGTCGAGTGGATTGTTAACCTATTTTAAGTCAATTAAATTTCAAATATATTCGTTCATACCTATGTTTATTTATTATCGAATATCTTTTCTATTAACACCATTTACACCTAAATCACCTCTATTTACCCCTACCTTACTCATATGCTCTTACTCTATTTCAAGTCTATTCATTCATCGAATTGTCAGTTTCATCAAAATAATTAAAGTTAAAGTCACTTTTCTGGTGAATTGACGGTAAGAGATAACATTAACTTTTTTTTCATATAATATTTTCTTTATTTTACTATTAGATATAGTATATTGTAAATATAAGTTTGTCATAATTCTATAGATTCAACCAATTCAAACACTTTAACTATAATTTCATCAGTTTCAGTAAAATAAGTAGATTTTTTATCATCAACTCCAAACATTCTTATTAATCCAAACAATCATTAGCCAAAAGGCTAGCAATACAATCAGGCACAAAATCATAGCTACTATGCTGATATGGGAGATTCACGTGTTCTCTTGCAATTGCATGAACCACACTGTTCGTAGATCTATTACAATAAGAGATAGAAAAACCACTCTTAGTGTCCATCACTTCTCTAATGACCGACAATAATATGTAAACAAGAAAATCCTCCCCCGGATGTTATGTTCTTCACAACTGTCATAGCATCTGACTCGAACTCCACTTTAGTCTATCCTTCTTGCATTGCTCCGTCTATAGCTTCCTTTATTCCAAAAGCTTTTCTCTCCGCCACCGTCCAGTTTGCCTCTGCCGACCCCCTTTTGGCCTTCAGAAAATTTCCTTCATCAACTCTCGCCACCCATCCCCAAGCTCTTACTCCACCAGCCTCATTAACCGCTCCATCAATATTAATTTTGATGGTTTCCTTCGCCGGTTTCCTCCACTTTTCTCTAACCGTAGGCTGTTTGATATTTTGATCCCCACTCTGTTCTTGTGCCTCCTTCCAGCTTGCCAGCATCCCTGCGGCTCCATTGATAACGTTAGTAGTATCCTGCTTCTAGTCCTTCCACACCGTGTTGTTCCTGCGCTTCCAAAGACTCCAAAGCAATGCCATAAATTTACTCTTTTTCTCCTCATCCCCTGTCTCTATGCTCCTCCTCAACCACTCCTCCACAGGTACGTCCTCCTCAAGCGTTATGCCGACTTCCTGCCAGACCGATCGAGCCCAGCTGCAATTCCGAAACGCATGCTCCAGTGATTCTGTCGGGGCATCACACAATTTACACCCATTCGACACCGCTATGACTCACTGACGTAATTTGTCCACAGTTGGTATCGTCCCGTCCAATACCTGCCAAATAAAATATTTAAATTTAGGAGGTACCTTGGCTGACCGGAGTTGTGTCCATATGCCATTCGCCATCCCTGCCAAATCTCCCATCTGTAATTTGTAACTACTCTTAACAGAATATACACCATTTGTTTCCCCTTTCCACCAATACCCATCTGCATGATCCCCAACACTAATAGGGATGCTCAAATTTTTTCTTCCATCCTCATTAAAATTGCCTTTATTCTATCTTCATTCCACTTCTTGCCTGTATAATCATGTAAGGCTCCAACATTCATGTCCCGTACACCCATTGGTTTTGCTGATGTTATTCTTCCCTCGTCCGGCCTCAGCAACCACACATCTGCCCACACTTGCACTTCTACACCATTCCCCACTCGTCTCCTTGTATTCATCTTCAACAGACTCTGCGTCTCAGATATGCTCCTCCACACAAAAGAAGGATTATTTCCCAACTTGGCATTGAGAAAGTCAGAATTGGGAAAATACCTTGCCTTTAGAATCTTCCCTAGTAAGCTACTTTTATCATTAATTAGCCTCCACCCCTGTTTGACTAACATAGTCAGATTAGATTCTTTTAACCTCCTGGACCCCAGTCCGCCCATCTCCTTTGGTTTGCACATGTTCTTCCAGCTTCTCCATCTCATTCCTTTCTGATCCAGATTTGTTTCTCTCCACCAAAACCCATTCATTAGTTTTCCAATCTCATCACAGAAATCTTTGGGCAATAAAAAACATTCAAAGCATAAGACAACATTGCCTGAACCACATTCGTTAGCAAAACCGCTCGCCCAGTCCTTGTCAGATAACGATTGTTCCAACTTTTTATTCTACTATGAATCCGATCTTTCAAGTAACTCAAAATAGCTTCTTTGTTTCTTCCTACCATTGCTGGCAATCCCAAATACCGCTCATGCTCTCCCTCTGCGAAAATACCCAACTTCTGCCTGCGCATATCTCTGGTCTGCTCAGCCGTATTAGGGCTAAAATTAACCGTGGACTTAGCAAAATTCACCACCTGACCAGACAAATCTTCATAGTAGTTTAAGATCCTTTTAACCGTGTCACATTCGGCTGGTTTGGCTTTAAAAAATAAAAAGAGTAGAATAAGTAGATTGAGTGTTATAAAAAAAATATTCCCACACAAATAATCTTCATTTGAGATAATAATCTTTCCCAAAAAATAAATACGTAGTAAATTAGTAATTACCCTTTTTAAATGTCACAGTTCTCCGGTAAATTCCATCGTACAGCCGGTTGTACCGTGCGCACGGTACAGCCTTCCTTTTAATTCCCAAATTGCAGGTCGAATGTCTTCCATCGCAGTTCGCAGGCTTCCATCGCAGTTCGCAGGCTTCCATCGCATATCGTTCTCGTTGCTCGTCCTTCGCTCGGCGCCTACACTGATGACGATTCTCAACAACCGCAACTCTCCAGCACGAGCGCATCACCTCAAACTCCGGCTTCAACGACGTCTCCTGCGCATCACCTGGTGTATAGCCGTAGTTGCTTCTTCTCCCTCTTTCTTGCTTTGGACTCTTCATTTTCTCTTTTTCTTACTTAAGTTTAGTGGGTGAGTTTGGTCACTTGTTGGTCACATGTTAGAGAAATCTAAGTTATACGTAATTCTTCAGATGTGAGCATAATAAATGAAATTATGAGCATAGTAGACATTTCAAATGAGTTTTCTGAATGCTCATTTTGTAATTTATGTATACTCGTTTTATATTAGTGTAATACTCATTTTAAATGAACATATCCAAATGAATATTGAGCACATTAGAAATGAATTTTATGTTAAACTCAAATAAGTATAACACCAAAATGAATGAGCATACACACAAATGAACTTTTTAATTATTTGATACTAATTTGTAAGTTATGTATGCTCATTTTGGACTAAAACTTTTTAATAAACGAAAAAATAATAAACAAAAAATGTGATATATGAGAAATGAAGCAGATATCACTGATGCTCACCAATAGAGCAATAGACTTCCAATACTCAAAAAAAGAGGCTCAATGCTCATCAAAATTGATTAAATGCTTGTTTACAAAGAATATGAGATTTTCCCCCAAATTACAAGTTTGGCCATAGGTTCCCACCCAGTTCTCCTGTCTGCCCGATTCAGAATCCCCTCAAATTTGCAATATTCCCACGCAAAATATCCTCTCCGCTCCCGGATTACGAAATGGCTGAAGAAGGAGAAGAGAAAGAGGCCAAGCAAGAAGAGCAAGAGGAGGAGGACATCGAAGGGGAATCATCAGCTTCTGATTCGTTCATCGACGACGGAGACGACGATAATGAAGCAGCTGCCGAAGAAGCAGAATTGCTTCCTGAGGTATTTGCCCCACTGGAATATGGCATTATCTTCTGACTACAAGAACTCTTTTCCCTCAACCGAGTATCCTATTATAAAAGAAATAAAAGGAGAACTTCGATTTTGATGGTGATGTTTGGCTTTTTGTACATCGTAGGAGCCTTTGACGGAAGAAGAAATCGAAGAGCTCATTGCTGAACTTCTAGAAGTCGAAAGTAAGGTATACAATGCTCGCTTCTTGTTTAGCCTCCCCCAAACCGTCATTGAACCTTTGAGCATAACGGAACTCAATTCATTTGCTTACTGTTACAAGTTTGATGTTTTGTAGGCTGCAGAGGCCCAGGAGGCCCTAGAGCAAGAGTCACTAGCAAAAGTGGAGGCCGATGTTAGGACAGAGTTAGCTCGAGATCTCACTTCGGATGATGTATTGTATTTTTATTTCATTTGCCCCTGTTTATAACTTGTTTTATTATCCACCCTCACCACCTCCAACTCTTAATGTGAATCATATCATTTTCACGGAATCTGATGTACGACTTCTGCCTCTCCTTTTTATTTTGGATTGATTCAGTTGGAGCTTGCTGTTGCTGAAGAAATGAAGATATATAAACAAGAGTGGGAAAGTGAGCTCGATGAACTGGAGACAGAAAGTGCTCAACTCTTGGTACCATCTTTTATTAAATTTGACTCTCCACACGGTTAATGGTCTACATGGTCCTGATCCTATGATTGTAAATAATAATAGAAAACATATTATACTTTTGATGGCCTGAGATTAAAAAGTAAGTAAAAATCAAATTTGATGTAAATGTTTTCTATAAATTTTCAACAATGAGAGTTCAAATTTGCTTTGGATTTTTGTGTGCATTCCACTGCCAGAAAGAGGTGGAATGCCAAATCAAAACAATATTGTTGCAGCACTCTTAGAGTGTTAGTTTTAAAGTGGAATTGTGGTTGGGTAATACTTCTAAACAGAGATGCAGAATAGAAGTTGTTTCATCACGATGGTGAAGCTCAGCCTAAAATTTAATTGAGCTTATTATGCTACTTTCTCAAAGAAGAAAAGAGTTACTAGAAGCTATTAGCGGGTTTTAGCTTCTTATAACCAAACATAATGCTTAAGGGCAGGAAACTGTGGGGCTTTAGTACAAAAACTGCTTAATGTAAACACCTAAGCTATGTAATTATTGGAAAACAACTATGTTTCAGTTATAGAATTTAAAATTAATGGATATGAATAGGTGATTTTTTTTTTAAATTAACATGAGCAATGGCCCTGTGGTTCATTTATCAGCAAAATACATGTGCCAAAGAAGCAAATATGATAACATTTAATTTTAAATAATTCATTCTCTCCATGCTCGTAGTTATTGAAGTTAGTAATTTATTTCCATGCAACAGAAGTTGTAGAAACTCAATAACTATGTATGTCATTCCACAGTTTAATCAATAAGCAAACATGAGACCTAATGTTGATTAATTAGTTGTGGTTATTTGATGATTCCTTAAGTGGTTCAACTTTCATCGTCTCCATTTTAACAGGAACAACTTGATGGTGCTGGGATCGAACTTCCAAGTCTTTATAAGTGGATTGAAAGCCAAGCTCCTAGTAATTGCCGCACTGAAGCATGGAAAAGGAGAACTCAGTGGGTTGGATCTGAGGTGACAAGTGATTTTAGTGAAGTGGTCACTGATGCTGAGAAATATCTTGATATTCACAGACCTGTGAGAAGGTCAAATTTCTGTTTTTATCCGACCTATATATTGCTGATAACTAAATTATGTGTTCTCATCCTAAGAGTGAACTATTTGGGACAGAAAACATGGTAAAGTCCTAGAAGAAGGTGCTAGTGGGTTTTTGAGGAGAAAACTTACAGGACATATTGGCCATGAAGGATTGGACACAGGTGTAGATTGGTGTTCTTTCAACAAATTATGCTCTGATAAGTCATCTTTGGATAATGTTTCATTTGGAAGCAATCAGTGGGCTTCTGTTTACTTGGCTAGCACTCCACAGCAAGCTGCTGAGCTGGGTTTAAAATTCCCTGGAGTAGATGAGGTGAAAGAATTAGCGGCATATTGCCATATTCTACTGCCACTCTGACCATCCCAACTTCCAAATTTAGTTGGTGTATACTTTAAACTTTTCTTTGGCTCATTTAAGAAATCCCATTCTTTTTACCTCTGTGTTTTGATACACTCTAATCATCGTTATATGTATGCTGAATGCTTGAATGAGTAATTCCAAGCAGGCATAACAACATAATTGAACATGAAGGTAAATACGTTTATATAAACTAAATGGTGGTGCTTTTAAATTCTAATTAATCTAAATGGAAAACCATGATAATATTGCTGTTCTTGAAATTCTTGGACCGTCATGACAGCTACTTCCAATTTCAATGTTCTAGGCATCATGATCTTGACATCTTGAACTAGTTGATTTTGTGTGATTAGTTTCAATATTTTGTTTTAAAATGATATTTTCTTTAATCTTTGCTTGATAACTTTTTCCTTTCACATCTCAATGTCATCTTACTTATCAGTTAATTTCAATATTTTGTTTTCATAAATCGACCTATTTGGTTTTACCTCTTTGAAACTTTCTGTATTTACTTTTTTGTTAAGGATATATTGATATCAAATTGTTTTCAGTCCTCTCTTTGTGCGGGTGGGGGATTGGATGGTTTTGTTTCAGTCACCAATCACCATGATATGTGTTTAAACCTTTTCATTGGCCTATTGTTTACTTTCATCAGGTTGAAGAGATTGATGATATTGAAGGTGATCCAGTTGATGCTGTTAATGCAGATGATCTATCTGAAGAGCAGAAAAGAAAATTCAGGAAGGTTTGTAATTTGTAAATGGTATCTTCTACTTTATCATTGTTTCTCGTAGATGTTCTCTTACCTATTTATTCTCCATGTATTCTATAGCTTCTTCAATTTGCCCGTTTTATTTTTCACTTAGATGTTGCTTTTCTTTATATTATTGTTTTTCAATGCATTAGTGTTTTTTTTTCCCTGTTTTATGCCTTGCTTTTCCTCCCTTCGCCTTCAGTAAGCTATTATGCAAGGCCTCTTTTTAAAAGTGGTTGATCTCCTAATCCCGACACAGTTCCACTTATCAAGTTGTATTATTACTTGTAGTATTTTTTGTTTTCTTGCTGTAATTTGATGGCAATTTTTATTGACTCAGGTCAAGGAGGAAGATGATGTCAAAATTGATAAGAAGCTTCAGAGACGATTGAAAATGCATAGAAACAGGCAGAAATCTGTAAATATCACACATTTGATTTAGAGATGCCATTTGCTTTTCTGCGAATTGAATAACTTTTAACATTGTCTAATTGATCTTGAGGCCCACTCAGTTTGTCTTTTCTACAACTACACCCCCTTGCATTTAAACTTTCAAGTGTCTGGGGCTGCACGGGAGAATCATGTTTATTAAGCTTATTTTGCTGAATATTGATATGCTGATTTCAGTATTTCCATTGTCAGCGTCTCTGACTTTGGCTGACTTCCTCTTCTTTTTATACCAGGAAACAACAGACCAAGTCACTGGCGGTGACCAATATGGTAGTTCTTATCCGGATTTGGAAACCCGAGGACACGGATGTCATATTATTGACATGGATAAGGAAAAATGCAATGGAGATTTGTTAGTTGTTGAGGCCAGAGGATCAAAACGCCAGCGTGAAACGGATGAATCTGATGCTGAAAATAAAAAGCCTCAGGTTATTATTGTAGATACTGATGAGGAAGACGGAGATCTTTCTGTGGATAGATCTTCTCCAGCATGTACTATGAGTAAGACGATGGATCAATGCAATTCAGAAGGTTCTAAAGTTGATATGTTATCTTCAGTTTTTCGTTGCACTGCTTGCAATGACGTTGCTAATGAAGTATATCAGCATCCACTTCTGGATGTTATTGTTTGTTTGGATTGCAAAACCTTGATGGTAGCAAAGATGAAGGTAAATGGATTTTGTTATTCACGTTTCTATTTAGATTAGTGATTTAGTGGCACCTTACTGTCAGCACCAGCCACATTTTATAATTTGCTTGTATTGCTGACACTGTCTGCAGGATGTTGATTGCTCAGAGTGCTACTGTAGATGGTGCGGACGAAGCAGTGATCTATTAAGTTGTAGGCTGTGCAAAACATTATTCTGTAGCCTATGCATACAGAGGAATCTTGGTGAGGAACTTCTGTTGGGAATTAAAGCATCTGGTTGGGAATGCTGCTGCTGCTCACCAAATATTCTACAAAAGTTGAGCCTAGAATTAGAGAAAGCTATAGAATCTCGACAAATAGAAGCAGATGATTCAAATTCTGATTCTGATTCCGATTCTGATTCAGACAGTTCAGATTCTGAAGCAAACACCCAGACCAGGTAAGACTTAGAATATTGACTATTGGCATAGATGACATCCTGCTCTTTGACAATTATTTGTCGTTTTGATGTAGGTAAGAGCTGCAATTGTCTCTAAGCCTAAAAAGTTGTAGTCTTTTTTCTTTATATTGATGCATTTTGTTGACTGGCATGTAAGCATGTTCAGCCCAGATGATTTTGAAGCTTAGCTACTTAAAAATGTCAAGTTCTTATCAAACGTTTATGTTTGCAAAAGACCTTTTGGAGTATATAAGATGAATGTACCTGTTATGACTTATGATTCAAAAGCCTTTAATGGGGGCTTTTAATTGTGATCCTTTAATAGGTATTTTCCCTTTTTTCCAATTTTTTTCATGGCTAAAGTTGAGTTTTGTCTATAACATTTTCTGAATAGCTCTCGTTCGTTTCGTCTTATCTCAGACATTTTACTTTGATTTTCTAGATTTTAGTGTAGAATGATCAATAAGTGCATTGTTTCACTGCACTTTCCAAGTCTGAGCTACAAATATGTTGTACTTAGCATTATATTTGTTTTTTATATTTTAATTCTAAACCTTGAATATGTGTGCTGCTGTAAATACATGCTCTATTATAAAGATCTATTATCTGGAGACATGAAAATGTTGTATTATTATTAGTGACATTCTTATGTGGCACAAATGAATTGGGTGATGATTACATGACTAATATAAAATGACCCTAGAACTTTTGCTATTATAACCTTGTTGGAGGCATACTTATACATAGCAACTTGCAGTACTAAAAGAAGGCAGAAGAAGAGAATTCGCAGAATCCTTGATGATACTGAATTAGGAGAAGAGACTAAAAGGAAAATTGCAATTGAAAAGGTGGGATCATATTACTGCATAATTTTGCATTTGTTTAGTATCTAAATAAGGTATTAATTGTTTTATGTATTGTAACAGGAACGCCAAGAGCGCCTGAAATCGTTGGAAGCACGATTCTCCAACAAAGCCAGGATGATGAGTTTTGGAGATTCAAGTAAAAAGTATTGTGAAAATGGTAGTGCTGAGATGCTTGGCGATTCCAAGATGGGATATGTTGTTAATGTGGTGAGAGATGAAGCTGAAGAGGCTGTTAGGATCCCCCCCAGTATGTCAGCAAAATTAAAAGCCCACCAGGTTCTATTTTCCTTGTTGCTTCGAAATCCCACCAAGTTCTTGTGATTATTTAATATCTTGAGTTGTGCCGTGCAACTTCTTTCTTTACTTTGAATTCAGAAACACTGCTAGGTGTCATATTAGATCACTAAAAGATACTTATGTGCTTCATGGATCAGCATTTGATAAAGAGTTTTTGGTTTTGTTGACAATTCTATTACAAAATAGTGTCACTCTAAATAATGTTTTTTGTTTATTAGGGTTATATCAATGTATTTCTTCACGGTACTTTTTGGAAATGACAATTTTCACGGACAGACAATGACATACACCTTGCTATGTTGCTATTAATTCAGGTTGCAGGCATTCGATTTATGTGGGAAAATGTAATTCAATCGATTAAAAATGTGAAGTCTGGAGATAAGGGTCTTGGTTGCATCCTAGCTCATACTATGGGTTTAGGCAAAACTTTTCAGGTATCATTATTTCGCGATTTCTGAATGCTTTTCTTGCAACACTCATGGTACACTATTTGATGTGACTACTCGCACCTCACTACACCTTTTGGCATGACATGCATTAGAAATGATTGAAAACTATATTTACGCATGACTACTCATAGCTCATCACACCTGTATTTTTTGTTTATTTATTTTATGTAGTCCTCCATGGGCTTTGAAGTTTGCTTATAAATGAATTACTGTTCATCTGTTCAAAAACAAGTGTTGCATTCTAGCAGCAACTCCAATAGACGATTTTGTTTTATGACTCTTGGAACTGATGCCGTTTTGCTTCTTTAATTAATTAATTCAAATGAACTAGATGTCCTCATAGTTAACTATTACTTTCTATTATTAAATATTAAAAATCTTTTTGCAGGTAATTGCATTTCTGTATTCTGCAATGAGATGTGTTGATTTAGGGTTAAGAACTGCTCTCATCGTCACCCCTGTTAGTGTTCTACATAACTGGAGGCATGAATTTCTGAAATGGAGGCCAACAGAACTAAAACCTCTTCGTGTCTTTATGCTTGAAGATGTTCCAAGGTTAATCATCTTCAAAAATTAGTGCAGTTGCTCACTTTTTAATCCGTAAATATTGTCAATTTGTCACTCTTTGGTGCGATTGGTTGCATATTTAGGTATTATTAGATAATAATTCTCTCTCCTTTTTTAGTTTTCACTTCGCGAAATAGAAGCAAGAAAACACATTTGGTAATAGTGTTTTTTGTTTACTGTTTTTGAAAACAAAATGAAATATTGAAATTTTCTTGAAATATGAGGTGTCATTTACAAAATGTAGAAGTTTATCAAAAAAAGAAAGCACATACTACGGTATATCTTTTTATCTATTTCAATTTAGAAAAGTGAAGATAAAAAACAGCTTCGCAAGTTTCAAGTACTGGGGAATCAGAATACAGAAATAGGAATATGGGAAACAAATTGTTGGAGAACATAATTCCTAAGGTAATGGGCCCTTAATATCTTTTTTCATTGTTTTTGGAAACATATTTCAACTTTGACAGTGTGTTTAAAGCATGTAGAATTTATATAAATAGTACTACATATAAATTATATTTACAACCATGGGTCATCCAGAAACAGTCTGATAGGAACCGGGCATATTAGTATTAGTATAGTAATAATAATAATAGAATTCTAGTAAATAATTGTGATAGTATAAAATAAGGCTTCTGGGCCAGGTGAGTCATGGGTTGGGCTGGCCTTTTTGTTTTAGTATAAGAAGGGGAGGGAGGGAAAGGGAAGGGCAAGCAGATTTTGGATTTTGGATTAGGACTGGGAGATACGAGGCACTCTCGAACTTGCCTCAACTGTATCGTTACTTTCCCGTTTCTTCAATTTCAGTTTCATATTTCAACAGTTCAACCTCAGATTTCTGTGTACCTATCAATGGTATCAGAGCATTCGCTTCCTGGAGGCAGGGAATCGGAATCATCGATCATCTCAGAGCAACAACAGTCCAGAACGATGGAGGAAGTATATATGACGCCTCGAATGGAAAAGAGTTTTGACAATATAGAACGAATTATGGAGGAGATGAAAGCATCAATGGAGAAAATGGCAAACATGCTGGCAAATATGACGGCAAACATGGCGACAAACATAACCGCGATGAGTGAACAGTTTCGATCCAGAGGAATATCGCATTGTCCGGTTTCTAACAGTTCGCAGATGTGAACTAAGTCTTCCTGTGCATCGCGGAGTGCGCAGGTTCAGTCGCGAACTTCCTCTCTCAGTTCGAAATCGAAGGTGTCTTCACCAGTCGCTCCTAATCGTTCCAGTTCTCTGTCGCAACTTGTTCCTCATAGATCCTCGTCGCAAGTCGGCTACCTCGTCAGTTCGCAGAAATCTTCGCAGTCGCGAACTTCCTCTCTCAGTTCGCAATCGCGAACTTTATCATCAGCCAGAAGTTCACGACCAAGTCTGACGCGATCGAGAGGAGAAGCTTGCTGTTCGCAGACATCATCGCAAACGGCTTCAGTTTCATCGCGAAGAGTAGTTTCCAGTTCTCAGATGTCGTCTCAGTCGCCAACATATTTCATCTGTCCCAGAGTTCAACGCTATCATATATTTCCAGTTCGCAGGGGTCTTTGCTAGCTGCTTCTCACAGCTTGTCATCCTTGGTTGCTTCGAATCTGCCTGAGCGGGAGGAAAATGGAATTCGTTCGAGAAAAGTGAAAGAGCAATTGTCAAAGCAATTGGAGGATCAGGTAAAAATCACAGATAAAACAGAGAGTATTCAAGCACTTGAGTGGAAATCCGATATTAATGTGATGAATGCTAGGCCTGATGTTTTTGTATCTATAACTGAGGCCAATCCCATAATGGATCAGTCACAACTCTTTCTAGTAAGGACAGGAACTGGTGCATTATCACCTACAACTGTGTCGCTGAAACCGGGGCAGGTTATTTCTGGAGTTCTTAATGGTGAAGGTTCTAAGGAGTTGATTGCCAGTATGCCACTATTAGAATTGCATACTGATAAAGAGAAGAAAGCAGTAGTTGCTGCCGGTTATGAAACCATTGCATCTCTCCTGGCTGTTGAACCTATTCAACAACTCTTAGCTATTGGGATCACAGAGGGTAGGCTGAAGGTCGTTGGAGGGAACAATATTGAAAGCCTTATGGTCTGGGAGCTGGAGAACAAACACTTGTCTTCCATATTAAAAGGGGAGTCAAACCTACTCACATGTTATGCCAACTCACTTTCAAAAGCTGCTTTGCTTGAAAGGACAGTTGCTGAAGCTGCAGAGGATCCATTTGCAAGAATTAAAGCAACAACACCATTAAGAAAGCTGTTGTCGATTGAACGCAGCCTTCCAAATGATGAATTTCGTGAGCCGGCTACCTGGGCTTCAGGAAAGGTTTCTTGTGATACCCCAAGTTGTAGCGATCAAGGTCGTGGTCATGGTGCAATACTACCATTGCTAGTTCAGTCAAATGAGCATTCAGAGCTTTTTATGTCGACAAATTCTACAGGGACTTTATCAAACTTATGGCGATGCAGGCCACCCACTCCATTTGCCTTGGTCAAAGGTGTATTGTCAGTTTATCAGCCATTCATCCATATGAAAGAGGAAGAAGTTTGGACTCAAGTTTGCTGGACAATACCTAATATCACGGCTGGGAGTGAAAATGGATTTGAAAAAGTTTTAAGAATACCTAAACTTGATTGGTCATCTGGGCTTATAAAATTGAAAGGCACTGATAAAGTAGAGTCAGTTGACCTTAAACTTCCTGGATCATTTGGAGATATTATTACAGCACCAAATGTTTGTGATATGAAAAGCAATGAACTCTGTTCTTTTTTCATTCTGACAAACCCCAGCGAGTTACAATTTTATGAGAACATTGGCTGGTCTACCGGGAAACCTGAGCAAGAGAACAATCATTATGTTCTCCAGAGTGACAGCATACCTCTTTCTGAAGAGAATCTGGTTAAACCGGGTGGTGGACAACTTTGTTCAAACGGGGTGATGAAGGGTCAAGTAATGAAGATCATGGTCCAGAAATCCGGAATGTACTGGGAAGGAAGAGGCGCAAGGATGAAGATAAAGCTGAAACTCCAGGCCTGTTCCTATCACCCACCTTGAGGACAAGGTGGTTGTTTAAGGGGGGAGATATGATAGGAACCGGGCATATTAGCATTACTATAGTAATAATAATAATAGAATTCTAGTAAATAATTGTGATAGTATAAAATAAGGCTTCTGGGCCAGGTGAGTCATGAGTTGGGCTGGCCGTTTTGTTTTAGTATAAGAAGGGGAGGGAGGGAAAGGGAAGGGCAGGCAGATTTTTGATTTGGGATTAGGACTGGGAGAGATGAGGCACTCTCGAACTTGCCTCAACTGTATCGTTACTTTCCTGTTTCTTCAATTTCAGTTTCATATTTCAACAATTCAACCTCAACAGTCTCCGTGTGCTTTTAGTACAGGGAAAGGCTGCGTACATCCTCCCCCCTCTTACCCCACCCTAGGTGGGAGCCTTAGCGGCACTGGGGTAATGGTAATGAATGGATATAAATTATATTTACAAAACAGACTAACCAAACACAATTTGTATTTTAGAATTTTTTGATAACAAAAATAGGAAATCTTTCACATGAGATGCTTCCAAACACACCTCAAACGTGCCATAATTCCGTGACCTCCTTTTATGCCTAAGTACCTAAACAAGGATTCCATTTTGTTATCTTGTGTGCTATTGCTTTTTGTTTTGGATCAACTTGAAGTTTTCAATAAGGTCTATGCCACACTGTACTCTGAATAGCTGGTGCCTTTGATCCGTCTATTCTCTATCCAATCACCCACCCACCCATCCAATTATTTATTCCATCGTAATGTGTTGCCTTTTCAGGGAAAGAAGGGCTGAATTGCTGCAGAAGTGGAGATCTAAAGGTGGTGTTTTTTTAATCGGCTACGCTGCTTTCCGGAACTTGTCTTTGGGAAAGCATATAAAGGATCGTCAAATTGCTAAGGAAATTTGCCAGTCACTCCAGGTATAGGAAGCAACTTAGCAAGAGCATTTTTTCTCAATGCCTCATTTATTCTGTTTCAATAATTTAGTTTTTGGGTTAATGTGACAGTTTGGCTATATCTCCAGATTCCATGTAAATGAAATCTTTGCCATTCACTTATTCTATTGAATGACAATCTGTGGTAGTTCATTTGTGTTTATTGCAGTGCATCTCTTCCTTCCGAATTATATTTTTCTTGGTCCTATAATTCTTATTAATAGATTACTTATATATGATTGTTTGGTGTGAGAGAGTTGGAATCATTGGATTCATGGGATTGACTTGAAAAGGATTTTTGTTTTAGAGTTAGGCCTAAGCTCACATTTTGTACAGGCACGTCTTGGCTTAGATACAAATCCCGATTTTCCTATCAGATGTGTAAATATGCAATACAAATTTGATAAATTTAATCTTGTTAACTAATGTTTTGAAATGGAAATTGATTGGTGTACTCCAGTGGATATGCCTTCCACCACACGGCACAATCTCATTGAGCACGAAAAAGAAAGCACAACCAAAATTATGGCTTCTTTTAAGGGTTATTTAGAGATGTGCCATATCAGTATGTGAATAATAGTGGTGTAAAGAGTGGGAGTATAGTCACACATCTGATTACAGATAGTCAATATAGTGTACTGTTTTCATTGGATCTTATAATTCTGGTGCTTATGCACACAACTTCTCAATCAATGAATGCAAAGGTAATTACACTCTTCTTTTCTTCCTCTTTTTGGTTTCTGATTCTGAGCTTGTAAAATACCCATGCAATTGCTAGGATGGGCCTGATATACTAGTGTGTGATGAAGCTCATATAATCAAGAATACCAGGGCTGATGTCACACAAGCCTTGAAACAAGTAAAGTGTCAGAGAAGGATTGCTTTGACTGGGTCTCCTCTTCAGAACAACTTGATGGAGTACTATTGTGTAAGGCTACAAGAAAGATGCAATCCCTTGACTTAGTAAATTACCTGACATCAGTGATTGTATTCATGCAATTATGTGGTTTTGATTTATTTTTTTGGTAATAGATGGTAGATTTCGTCCGGGAAGGATTTCTTGGCAGCAGCCACGAGTTTAGAAATAGGTAAGATTTATTGCTTTATGCTGTTCCTACCTCCCTTTTCATATTCCTGATAAGTGTTTACATCCTTGCCAAACTACTATGTAGGTTTCAGAATCCTATAGAAAATGGTCAAGACACCAATTCGACAGATGAGGATGTGAAGATTATGAACCAAAGATCTCATATTCTCTATGAGCAATTAAAAGGATTTGTTCAGAGGATGGACATGAATGTTGTGAAGAATGATTTGCCGCCAAAAATTGTCTTTGTAGTGTCTGTTAAGCTTTCTCCTTTACAGAGAAAATTGTACAAAAGGTTTCTTGATGTCCATGGCTTCACAAAGGACAGGGTTACTGGTGAGAAGATAAGAAAGAGATCATTTTTTGCAGGATATCAAGCCTTAGCTCAGGTACATTTTATAATTTGGTGATTACTAATGCTATCATATGAACTAAGTTAACAGGTTGCCTTTTCCAGTTGGAGAGGTTAGTAAACTACAACACCATTTGCAGCTTTTAATTTGAGACTAAGAATCTCTATACTGCTTCCAATTTACAGAAGAGAGAAAATGTTCAAAGCGAAAACAAATGCAAAATACTTGGCCATGAAAATTCATGCAGTTTCTAAACCAAACTACACTATAAATTTGGAAACTAGCTCAGGGAAATGGGTAGCTCACTGTTTTAGTTCACATGTATGCATGTGCTTCAAATTCCGATAGATCTCAACTATTGTAATGGCTATTTTCAGATATGGAACCATCCTGGGATATTACAACTAATGAAAGAAAACAGGGACTCTTCCAAGCGTGAAGATGCTGTTGAAAATTTTATTGTCGAAGATTGCTCAAGTGATGAAAATACAGACAATAATGTGATTCCTTCAGGTGCTTTCTTGGCTGCATGAACTAGTGCTTTGTTTTTTTCTTATTTAGTATCTTTTCACATGTACCAAAGTATCACCTTTCCGATGTATTTTAAACAATATGTACCAAAGCATCAAACTAGAATATTGAATCACCAAATGGAAATCCATAACCATTGAGGTTCATTAAAGAGAAATAAATTGACATTCTATTGCAAGTTGTTCTTATTAGCATGGGGGAATGTCACCTAACCTGATGTGGAAAGCTTGTGAAAATATTAAATACTGTGGTAAAATAGCTTTTCCTTCAGTGCAGTTGATTAGATATATTCCATGATTTTTGCAGAGAAACGAAACTTGAGTGATCTCCCACTCCGTAAAGATGCTACTGGTTATCTTCAAGGGGTGTGTATAAAATTCCTTCTTCCATCTTCTCATTTAAGTGTCTTCTATAAATGTCTAGTTCTTCTGAATAAATGATTTTTATCTTGCCCCATCTTCACTATTTGAATGATAGTCTTTATTTTCAATAGTTTATCTCTTACTTTTATGTTCTCACTAATCATTTCTTTCTTTTATGCGTTCTATCTGCTCTTCACATTTTTATTTTAACAAGTGTAGAAAGCAAACTTTTTTCCTTCTGTTGAAAAGGAAGATCACAATTATGCGTTCTAATCTCGCAAATACACTCCTCTTTTCCTTTTGCTAGGACTGGTGGAGTGATCTTCTAAAGGAAAATAGTTACAAGGAGGTTGATTACAGTGGAAAAATGGTTCTACTCCTTGATATCCTGGCCATGTGCTCTAGTGTCGGTGACAAAGTTCTAGTTTTCAGCCAGAATTTGGCAACACTTGACCTGATTGAGCGCTACCTTTCTAAACTGACACGCCCAGGGAAAAAAGGGAAGTTATGGAAGCAAGGGAAAGATTGGTTCAGGTGTGTATGTCTCTAGAGTGTATGAATAACTGCATTGTACTCCCATGATTTTCTTTCTCTTGTCACAAGCAACATTTATACGAAAAGCTACACAAGTTCAAAGCATTTATTGATAAATCAAGAAAGTAAACAACCCAAGTTTTGTCCATTTTGGAAGTGATGCCTAAATCAAGAGTTTAACCAACTGCCATAAACTTGTATGGTTTTCTTGTAATTGTTGTTTGTTTCAGTTTGGCCATGCAAAAGATAGCTTTAGATTTTGATCGCAATCATTTTTTTTCCTTTTCATTGTTGTGAAAAATAGGTTAGATGGAAGAACAGAATCTTCTCAAAGACAGAAAATTGTTGAGAGGTTTAATGAGCCACTGAATAGAAGGGTGAAGTGCACTCTTATATCTACCAAAGCTGGATCTCTCGGTATCAACCTTCATGCAGCTAATAGAGTGATTATCGTTGATGGATCATGGAACCCAACTTATGATCTTCAAGCTATATATAGGGTTTGGAGGTGTGGTTTGGTAGATTTTTAAGATAAAAGACACATATATGGCACAAACGTATGTGTGATGATATACGATACTTTCCCAAATTGCAGGTATGGACAAACAAAACCTGTTTTTGCTTATCGATTACTGGCACATGGAACCATGGAGGAAAAAATATATAAGCGTCAGGTATTAACTACTAAGGAATAAGGGTCCAAACTTTAAATTTATAGTGAAGTGTCACTATGTTATTGGATGTTTGGTACACAGGTTTCTTTCCAATCAGTTGTCAACAATAAACAACAACATCTAAGCTTTATTCGCAAAAGAGTTTGGACTTGACTAACATGAATCAAACTACTATGTCAGAGTCAAAACATTAGATGGATAAAGAGGAAGATCAACAATAAAATATCAATCCACCTCACGTATGCTCTGCCTTGATTCGCCTTCACCAAAGTCATATTTTTATCTAATCCAAGTGGTATCTTATCATTCCTAACCACTGTAATCTGCTGTCTGGTTAGTCCTCCCCTCCTCTTCCTACCTCTCAATCCGTATGACAAGTGCCAATCTTCAACACTTTTGACAAAAGCACCGCAATCGCGACTCTAACTTCTTATCTTCAATAGAAGCTACTCTGATTTTTTACTTGATTGTCTCACTCCTAGTATGCCCACTCTTAGCTGTAGCCTATGCTTATCAACCCACTTCATCTTTTGAATGTGATATTGTTTCATTGCCCAACACTTTGTGCCATAAAAAAATCCAAGCCTACTTGCTGTTCGATAAGACTTGCCCCTGATTTGGGATACCTTATTAGTTGTTACATAGATATTCTGATGCACTCTTCCACTTTATCGACTCCGATTTGGTTTATGTGATACGCTGATACATTTGCATCAAAGTCACCTTCCTTCTGAACTATGGAGCTCGGTTAACCAAATACTCCCTCTGGTTCACATTCTTCTTTACAATTTGACTTTTCTGGAGTTAAGGTGGAAAAATGTTTTGAGTTGACTTTCCATTTATACCCTTGGTTGCAAAAGTAAAGGTAAAATTTAAAAAGTAGAGGGTAAAATCAGTAAATAATAGCTATGCTTTGACATTAAAATTTGCTGACAACATACAATAGGAGAGAGAAGGTAATTCGTACCCCTCTACAAATAACAGTACACTTTCGTACATAACATGATTGTAAAGGCTTTGATTTTTCAGCTTCCCTCCAAAAGTAAAATTAGAAACCTTTCCCACCCAAAATTACTTCTAGCCTATACAAGGTTTTGAAAGGCGAAATCGGGCCTCGAGGCGTTCGGGGGTAGCCTTCCGAGGCGTAACGAGACGTAAGCCCCGAAATTTAATTGCTTAAGTGTATCTACAAGCCTATGACATATTAGAATGTATAGATAATTCATAACAATAACATATCTAAACAAAATCACAAGTAAAAATATCATAACTACAAAATATTCAAGTCCAAATAATATAAAACTGAAATACCAAAGTCAAAACTCAAAAGAACATAAAACATCTAAATTCTATGACAAGAAAATAAAAGTTTAGGAGTTTAAGTTTGCAAATTGACAAATTGCAACTATTAATCTTCAAAACTAAGCCTATCGTCCTCTTCATGAGTATCCAAATTAGTAATTTCATTCTCTGTAGAAAAATGTAGCATATTCATGTTATTTTATTATGTGTACATCCGGGACTGTATAGATAGGAAGTAGAGTTGATTTAGGACTCTAACTCTTAGATTAACACGCAGTGTAGATAAGAATAGATAGATCCTAAATATTAGGATCTGTAACAAACCTTAGCTTATCTGTAATTTTGTATTTATATCATTGCCGGATGGCTCAATAATACATGGAAGATTAATTCTTCAAACCTACATGGTATCAGAGCTTCGGTTTAAACAATGGTAGAAACCAGTGAAGCTGATTCCTCACACACTACCAACCCTAACTCCCAAATTAGCTCTATGACAAATTACCAGTCTCCTATTCATTCATCTATGATAATCACTAGTCATAGATTGAATGGAATAAACTATCTGGAGTGGTCTCAATCTGTCAGACTTGCAATTGATGGGAGGGGAAAGCTGGGTTACATCACAGGAGAAATCCAACCAAAAATACAAGCAGAAGAAGGGTACAGTACATGGAGGTCAGAGAATTCACTCATAACAGCTTGGCTTCTCAACTCCATGGAGCCCCTAATTGCCAAACCTCATATGTTTATGAAAACTGCAAAGGAGGTATGGGATTCTATTAAGGAAACTTATTCAGACCTTGAGAACTCTTCTCAAATTTTTGAACTCAAAACCAAATTGTGGCAATCTAAACAAGGAAATAGGGATATTATTTCATACTACAATGAAATGGTATCTCTGTGGCAAGAATTAGATCAATGCTATGATGATGAAGAGTGGGAGAGTGCTAAGGATCTGGCCAGACATAAGAAAAAAGAAGAGAATGATAGGGTCTATATGTTTCTAGCAGGGATCAATAGGGACCTAGATGAAGTTAAGGGGAGGATACTTGGAAAAAAACCTCTACCTTCTATCAGGGAGGTATTTTCTGAAATCAGGATGGAGGATAGCAGGAAGAAGGTCATGTACAACACCCCAGCACCTAATGAGGAACCTGGGGAATCTTCAGCTTTGGTGGCCAGAAGTGATGACAACAAGAAAAAACCTTGGTGTGATCACTGCAAGAAACTGTGGCACACAAGGGATACATGCTGGAAACTCCATGGAAAACCACCAGGAGCTGGGAAGAAGAAAGTAGAAAGGGCCCTACAAACTACTGTGACTGAGACTCAACAAGAGGCAGGAGTTGAACCTAAACAGCTACCATTCACTCAGGAACAGATAGAGTACCTACTCAGATTCATACCTACCCAGAAAATCTCCAATCTTGAAAACCCTACCTGTTCTTTTGCCCAGAATGGTAAAATAACATCATATTTTTGTTCTGAAAAAACTAAAAACACCTGGGTCATTGACTCAGGTGCAACAGACCACATGACCTATATTCCAAAGTTTTTTTCTTCTTATCAACCTTGTGCAGGAGATAAAAAAGTTAGAGTTGCAGATGGCTCTTTCTCAGCCATAGCAGGGATGGGAAATATTAAAATTTCCTCATCCATTAACCTTTCCAAAGTCTTACATGTTCCTAAACTTTCCTGCAATCTTATCTCTATTAGCAAAATTACTAAAGATCTTCAGTGTTGTGTAAAATTTTTTCCCTCTTATTGCATTTTTCAGGATCTGGCATCAGGGAAGATGATTGGCAGTGCTAGAGAGGAAGATGGCCTCTATACTTTTGATGAAGGAACACAATTGAATAAACAAGGTCAAGAAAAAACTTGTTTGCAAACTGTTTTCCTTGTAATAATGAAGTGTACCTAATGCACTATAGATTAGGTCACCCAAGTTTTTCCTACTTGAAAATGTTGTTTCCTAAGTTATTTATTAATAAAAATCCTTCATCATTTCATTGTGATATGTGTGCACTTGCCAAACATCATAGGAGTTCTTACATCCCTCATAGTTACAAACCAACTAGTCCTTTCACTATTGTACACAGTGATATCTGGGGTGCATCTAGAGTTTCAACTCTGAAAGGAAAAAGGTGGTTTGTAACTATCATAGATGATCACACAAGGGTCACATGGGTGTTTTTACTTAAAGAAAAATCTGAGATTGAAGAGGTGTTCAAACAATTTTACTCAATGATCCAAACTCAATTCAACACTAATATCAAAATTGTAAGAAGTGATAATGGACTTGAGTATTTTTCTAAGAAGTTAAATACTTTTTTTGCTGAAAAAGGGATTGTTCATCAAAGTTCCTGTGTAAATACTCCTGCTCAGAATGGAATAGCTGAGAGGAAGAATAGACATTTACTTGAAGTTACTCGTGCAATAATGTTTTCTGCCAAAATTCCAAAATATTTATGGGGAGAAGCTGTTTTACATGCTACCTATCTAATTAATAGGATGCCATCAAAAACTCTAGGATTCAAAACTCCTATTGATACTCTTCAAACTTGTTTTCCTGAAACTAGACTAATTAACTCTCTTCCCATAAAAATTTTTGGGTGCACAGTTTTTATTACCAATCCTGACAGAAATGCAAGTAAATTTGACCCTAAGGGAAAAAAATGTGTTTTCTTAGGACTCTCTTCAACTCAGAAAGGCTATAAATGTTTTGACCCTATAACAAAAAAGATGTTTATAACTATGTACACTGTTTTTGTAGAAGATCAACCTTTTTTTGGTACTCATCTTCAGGGGGAGATTCCTAATGAAGATGGTAATAATGTATCACATATCCTTGAAAAACTAGAACCTCTTGACATTAATCTAGATGCACAGTATAATAGACAGTTAGATGCACTAGAAAATAGTCAAGAGTCAAAAGAAAATGATTTTTTTTTTCTGAAACAAGGAAAGATGATGAACAACAGACAAGTAAGTTTTTTGGCAAGGTTTATGAAAGGAAAGTTCCAAATCACAGAATAGAGGACATCCCTGATCCTGCCACTGTCAATGAATCTGACTCAATGCCAGAAAATGACAAAGGTAATAATTTCAGTGATCTAAATCTACCCATTGCTCTCAGAAAAGAAAAAAGGTCATGTGTTAAATACCCTATCTCAAACTATCTGTCCTATTCTCAGTTATCTACATCATTTGCAGCTTTTACCTCTAGCCTTTCCAGTGTCTCTATTCCCTTAACCATACAGGAAGCCCTATCTATACCTGAGTGGAAGAAGGCTGTTTTAGAAGAAATGAATGCCCTTGAATAGAATCAGACATGGCAGACTGTAGAGGTACCCAAAAATAAACCAAGGGTTGGATGCAAATGGGTGTTTACTCCTAAATTCAAGGCAGATGGTACACTTGAAAGATATAAGGCCAGACTGGTTGCCAAAGGATACACACAAACCTATGGCATAGATTATACAGAAACTTTTGCACCAGTTGCAAAATTAAATACTATAAGGATTCTACTATCTCTAGCTTCTAACCTAGACTGGCCTCTTCAACAGTTAGATGTGAAGAATGCTTTCCTAAATGGGAAGCTTGAAGAGGAAGTATACATGAGCCCTCCTCCTGGGTTTGAGGAACAATATGGCTCAAAGGTGTGCAAGCTAGAGAAAGCCTTATATGGGCTTAAA